TCTTCCACCTCCAGTCCACAAAGGCCACTGAGCCCAGGCCACTCACCAGCCTCTATCTGTCCCTGTCACAGCACAGCACAGCACGTGATGGCTGTCCCCACCCAAGACTCCCTCTGAGCCTCAGGGGCCCATTGCTCTCTGGAAATCACCTAATCACCTCTACTCCAGTCACGACCAAGCACTATCCCAGCGTGAAAGGCGGCCTTGCATCAGCAAAGGCACACACAGTTTCTGGAATGCTGGGTTCTAGGCTGGCCCAGCCACAACCTGCCATTGGACCTTGGAGAAACCAGTCCATACTAATGTTTTAAAAAGCTAACACAGCTTAGAGCAGCATGCCAGGCTCAGGCCAAGAACTCACCTGCACTATCTCATTTAGTCCTAACAAAAATCCTCAGAGGTAGGTGTTGCCATTGGCCCCAGGTTGGGCAAGAGAACAGGACTGGGGCTTAGAGAAGTGCTTCAGAGGTGGGACGGGGATTGGAATCCCATCGACATGTGTGCCGTCCCTCTGAGCCTCAGTTTCCCCTTCTGTCAGGTGAAGGGGTGGGCCTCCATGATTCCTAAGTTCCCTTCCAGCTTCAGAAAGGATGCCACATGCCCAAGCCTCTAGCCACACTTGCACTGCATGGCCAGACCCCGGAGCCCCTGCCCCTCACGAGAATGCAGACACAGCACCTGATGACAGCCAAGGCCATCTGCCCACTTCTCCCCATCCCTTAGGCATGGCCCCAGTATTGGTGAGGACACCTCTGCCCAACCCACCCAGTCCTCTTCATCACCACTTTGACGTCCACCCACCTCTCTCTAGTTCTACAGGCCCACATCCCTGCTGGCTCCACACCGCCCTTCCAGGTCCTCCTTCCCTCTGCAACCTCTCTCTTCCCGAAAGATCTCTTCTTTCTTTTCCACCTTGGTTCCACCCTCTCCTGCCTCCCCAGGTGAAATCAGCTGGGATTCAGCAGTCACAGGGTCACGGAGCCTGGGGATGAGAAGGATGCTCCACTTCAGTTCCTCAACCCCTGCACCCACCTAAACAACCTCCTGCCTCCACTGAGCACCCCAGGCAGACAGAGGATGACCCACTGCGCCAAAGCTGGCTCAGTCCCTGATGCGCCATGGGCACTTTGCCGACATCCATTCCCACCGAACCCTCTTAGGGCATCATATGTCCATCTTACAGACGTAGGCACCACAGCTCAAAAAGACCACAGTGAGCCACAAGATCACACACCCCTAAAAGGCCTGGTCAGGATTCGAACCCAGGACTGTCTGGCTCAAGGTCCGCGCTCTTCCAGGCACCTCCCTACATACTGTCCCACGCTTTCAAGGGCAGTTTGAATTGCTAGAAACAGGACAAAACTCACTTCTTCTCCATGAAATCTCTTCCCACATAGAAGGGGAGGGCAGGACATGTGGACACGTCTAACATCACTGTCGCTGTGACTCAGATCACAGCCACACTGCTCCCTACCTGGTCCTGGACTCAGGACTCGCTGACCCACCGCTGAGCCCAGGGTCTGTCAGGCAGCACTGGGCAGAGAGGACGGAAGAAGCTGCCCTTCCCCAAGGCTTCTGGACATTGGAGGTTGCTGCGGGAATCCTGGCAGCTTTGCAACAGAATCCCGGTATGACTTTCCGAGAACCCCAACAGAAAGAGATGAAGAAGAATAGACGTTCCAGGAGGCCCCTATAACAGAGCCCTGAATTCACAGACAGGAGCTGGTAAACAGATAGTAGCGACTGAGTCCCAAAGACACAGGAGCATCCTCCCTGATGCCCCACCTGGAGATAGTACAGCCCAGAAGCGGTCACCAAGACTCCACGCCTCCCTCCCTACCCACAGTCTTTCCACACAGAGAAGCGGAGGGGGCAGCACGCAGGCAATATGAGTGGGGCTGGGGAGGGGCTTCCCACAGGATTTCATGCAATCCTGCGGGGTGACAGCCTTTTAATGCCAAAGTTCTAGCGCAGGTTCTTGGTTACTCACAAGACTTTGCAGCCAGCGTACCACACACAGATGGGGGATGCGTGTGCCCAGACGCTGACAAGCAGGAGGCTCGTGATGGCCTGAGCACTAAGCTGGTCTGCTCACCCTGCCACACCACCATTTTCTGTGTGCCTTGATGGGACAAAGGTTGGGAAGCACTGCTCCAAGCTCACGTCCTCATTCAGACACAAGATCTGGTACATGAAATGAGCCTGCCCAAGACCCTACAGGGGATCTATGGTGGGGACTGCACTGGAACCACCTCCCAGCTCCCGTTCTCGCCTCCTTTCTGCTGAGCTCCTCACCATGGCCAGCTTGGTTTCTTTTGTGTGTGTGTTTTGGGAGGCTTTTTTGAGACAGGGTCTCACTCTGTCGACCAGGCTAGAATGCAGTGGTGTCATCACGGTTCACTGCAGCTTCAAACTCTTGGGCTCAAGCAATCCTCCCACCTTGGCCTCCACAAGTGCTGAAATTAGAGGCAGGTGTGAGCCACTGTGCCCAGCCCCAGCTTGGTTTCTTCGTGGCAGGGCCAGGGCCTCCCTATTCAACTATGTGCCCAAGTCTCCCCAGACAGAGCTGCCTACTTACCTACCCCTAAGGCTTCTCTGGGTGGAGCAGAGTCAGCAGAGGCAGTGAGGAGGGACCAGCAGTCCCCAAAGCCCAGCCCTCATGGCAGGGAGTGGTCCCTGGAGCACAGAAACCCAGAGTTGCGTAGGGCCCAGTTATCTCTGGGCAGCAGGTGAAAGCGGGCTGATTCAGTGAGCTGCAGACCTAGTAATTTCCTCATTTGTCTTGTCAACATCCTGTCCCACAGAGTGTCAAGTCCATTACATAAAGATTTTCTGCTAGGAAGATATTTAAGTGTGAGTCCAAGGAGCAGCAGGGGCTTGGGCTAAGGTGAGGATCTCTGCACTTCAATATCCAGGAGCAAGTCAAAGCTATTTATTACTGGAGGAAAGCCCAGTGTCACCTGTGCACGCAGTAGTAATCTGCCAGTACCTGACCTTCACACAGAGTAGAACGTGGGTGCATATGGGGGCCACCAGGGTGTGCCCACCATAGCATCCACAGGCTAATGGCATCCTCAACCTGCTTCTGAGCCCCAGAGCACTGCCTCAGAAGGAATGGTCCAAAGTGGATTTCCATGCAAAACTCATCAGGAAATGTAAGAATCAGAATGCCTGTGCGGGAAGGACTCCCAGTCAACCCCATCCAGTCCAGCCCTTGGCCAAGACTTACCATAGAGCTGCCATGGTGCCCACAGGCAAGGCCAGCATGGAAGCTGCTCTGAGCTCAGAGCCTCTGTTATGACCCCACTGGGGCGGGGGGATTATGATGTCGAGAGCCCAGGGCAAGGTGCTCAACACAGCTGACATTGAGGTCTCCACTCCATTCACCACCAACCCAACCATCACCAGCACCCAAGGCCATGCCCAGATGGCTACGCCCTGGCCAATACCTCCCTTCCTGGGCATCCAAGATTTCTCCCACCAGGGACACGTGTATCATCCCTGTTTCAATCTCCTAGAGCGTGCTTTCTCCACAGGAGGGAAGGGCGTCACCTCAAGGGAGCAAAAGCTGGTTCTTGAGTGGGCAAAAAGAAAAAGAGAAAGGAGATCTTACCATGGCTTCTGGTCCTCCAAAACTCAAACCTTCGAGACAAAATGTTATTCCTTGGTATTTAATCTCACTAGTTAGGAAGAATTATTTTTTCTCCCCAGCAAACAACAATGAAAAAAAAAAGAATGGTTGAGAAACATGGCCCTGGAGAGTTCTTTATTCGAAAGGGCTTAGGGTCCCACTGGAAATGCTTTCAGCTCACGGTTTACAGCGGTGCTTCTCAACTGGCAGTGGCTGTGCCCCGAAGGGACATGTGGCCCTGTCTGGAGACATCTTTGTTGTCACAGCTTGCAAGAGCACTGCTGGAATCCAGTGGGGACAGGGACATTGCTGAACATCCTCAGACTCACAGGACGGCTCCTCCCACAAGAAAGAATTATCCAGGCCAACATGTCAATAGTACTGCTGTTGAAAACCCTGCTTTAGAGCCATAGAAACTCCAGAAGATTTCAAAGACTGCCACAAAACTGCCTGTAAACCAGATTTCCTGTGCTCAAAGATCCCTGAGAACAAGCCCCACTCTGGCCACCCCTGAAGCATCAGTCTCCACCGATCCCTAAAGAAGCTCACCCCCCACCCCCACAGAGCACTCCCAAGACTGGAAGCCCCTCCCCAGCGCCCAGGCAGGGTGGGCTGCCCTGGGCCCAGCGTCTCCCAGATGCCACAGAGAACAAAGCCAAGAAGAAAGACCCCCAGAGCTCATCTGGCCCCTACATGTGGAGCCTGGCAAAGCTAGAACCCAATGCAGACTGTATCACTCCCCAGGGTGGACGGCACAGGGGGTGGCCTGAGCACCAGAGTGACTCCTGCAGACACTTCCCTTCCTGTGGTTCAAGAAGCAGAGCCCTCAAGAGAGAGGGAAAACCCAGGGCAGAACAGATCGTCATAGGACCAATAACACCAAGCCACAGCTGATGCTGACTGATGCAGCGTGCTGAGCCCTTCACCACCCACTGACCCACTTAGACCTCACGGCAATCCACTGAGGTAAGGACGGTACTCTCCCATCACAATGGAGGAAACTGAGGCCCAGACAGGGTAAGCAACATGACCAAGTGGAAAAGCTCCAAAGCAGGAGAGCCAGGGAACTGGAAAGAGGGAACGAGGCTAAGATAGAAGGGTGACACCAGGTTCCAGATTCAAGCCCTACTCCATGACAGCCAGCTGACCAGACAATTTCCACCAACACCTTGCTCCACACAAGCACCCAGAGAGGTGGGCATCGTGTTCTTTACAGAGGAGGAACTGAGGCTCAGAACTGTTAAGGGCGAGCTGATGGGCAGCAGGGCCATCCTCGGATGCCAGGACGCCTGTCCAAGCCCAGAGCTCCATCTGCCACGCCACAGGGACAAGAGAAGAACTGGCCAAGTCCCAGTGCGAGCTCACTTACCTGAGAAGATTGAAGCAAGCCTGAAGATGTCCGAGAGGCGGGAGGTCACCGGCTCATAGGGGGAGGCTTCGTAAAACTCCTCACCTGGAAGACAGAACAGGCGTCAGACACGGGCTTCTCTGGGCCAGAGCGCTGCCGGCACTGAGCAACTCTGCCGCAGGAAAGCTCTCTAACGGGAAAGCTCATGCCACCCAGGGGATAAGAGACAGAGCAGCCCTTCCCAAAGTGAAGACTGCAGGACCAGGGCACATTAGCAACGAAATGTTTAGCATTTCACCCAGGCAGGTCTGTCTCCCAACTAGAGGAGAAGCTCCCTGACAGCAGCTCAGAACTGCCTGACACTTCTCTCTCGTGACCACACTGCACGGCCGGCCCCCTTGGAAGGACTTCCAGGTGCGTCTGGGGGAAGTAGGGCAATGCTGGCCCACGTAAGGCCAGGTATCAATCGCAGGATTTGAAGTCAAAGGGCTCTCCACAATCATTCCCCATTTCACAAGAGAGGGCTGTGAGGTGGCCCAGAGAGGTGAAGAAACCTGCCTGAGATCACAAAGCTACTCCTGGAAGGGCGAGAGCTAGACTCTGCTGTCCTGGCCCTCCCACCAGCATCCTTTCCCATCACACCATGCCAGCTCTGCCCAGGTCACTGAGGAGGAAAGAATTTCCTCTTTGCCTCCCATCGTGTCGCCAGGAGAATCTTGCTGGATGGGCTGAAGTTCCGCTCAGTGGGTAATCTGATCCCCAGCTTCGGTCTGCGTGGCCCCTCTCCCACAGGGCCCTCCTGTCTTCCCCACCACCTGCAGGTCCTCGGACCTTTCCTCGAGGCTTTGGGTGCCTCGGGGGCTCAGGAATGGAAAAGCGAGTGAGTGACAGGAGATGGATGGCCCAGGGCTCCCCTTAAGACCCTACCAGTATGTCAGGAATCCCACCCTCCTCTGCTAAGGCCTCAGCAGGAAAGAAAATAGCCTCTTGAGATGTTATCAGCAAGGGGAAATTGATGGCTCATCACTCACCCTGCCCGTGTGTGCGTGTGCGTGTGTGCGTGTGCGTGTGTGTGTGTGCGCGTGTGTGTAGTGAGAAGCAGGGCACTGGTGATAACCCACAGCCTCACACACTCATTTCCCATCCAGGCAGGGCCCAGTGCCCAGGCAGGCACCCTCTGCCTAGGAGTGAGCACAGGTGGGGCAGCCTCTTCAAGGCTACCTGCAGCAAGGTATCATGCATCTGGAAGATGGGCTTTGCAACCCCTCTGCATGTGGTCACCCAGAGGCTGGAAGTGGAGACTCAACTAGCCCCCTGCAGGCTCACCGAGCAAGCAGGCTGCCTGTTATTCCCGGCAGACCCCTAGAAAAAGGGACAGCCCCAGATGACAAGGAGGAGGCACATTCCCTGCATAAGGAATAGCCTCTGCCTTTCATGTCACCTCCTAAGAGCATCCCTCATGCCCTGCGACACCCAGGACACATAGCAGGTGCCCAGCTGGAATCTGCTGACAGTCTAATCCAAATGAGCCTTTTTTTTTTTTTTTTTTTTGAGACAGAGTCTCACTCTGTCACCCAGGCTGGAGTGCAGTGGCACGATCTCAGCTCACTGCAACTTCCATCTCCTGGGTTCAAGCGATCCTCCTACCTCAGCCTTCCGAGTAGCTGGGATTACAGGTGCCTGCCACCACGCCCGGCTAATTTTTGTATTTTTAGTAGAGATGGGGTTTCACCATGTTGGCCAGGCTGGTCTTGAACTCCTGACCTCAAGTGATCTGTGCTCCTCAGCCTCCTAAAGTGCTGGGATTACAGGCATGAGCCACCACGCCCAGTCAAGACACACTGTTTATGGCCCATATGTGATCCCACCTTCTCCTTGGGGCCTTTGGACCCCTCACCAGCCTGGATGATCTCAGTGTCCTCCACCCCACCCACGGGCACTTTAGACTCTCTTGAAAAACTCCTTGAGGTGGGGTGACCAGCCATTGCTATTTATTGAGGCCAAACAATGTAGGAACTTAGGAAATCACTTTTACAATAAAAATAATGTTATACCATGTTTTCCAAGTGCCAGCACTGAAAGTGCTTTAGATATAGCTCACTTCATCCTCTTAACTACTGTATGAGATAGGCACTATTTTTCTCCCTGTTTGACTGATGAGGAACAAGGAGCACAGAGACATTAAGTAGCTTGACAAAGGTCACACAGCTAACAAGCGACAGACCCAGGGTTCACACACAGGCAGTGGGCTCCAAAGTCTAAGTGCTTCACTGCTGGGAATACTGTGTCCCAAAATGCAGAGTGTTGTTGGAACCAAATCATTCCTGAATAAGTACTGTTGTTCCCCTTTTCCCAAGATCAGTCTTCTGTCCGGCAGATGGTCCCCCCGGGGCGGTGGGGAGAGGGGGGGCCTGTCCTTCCCTACTGCATCTAGTGCAGCCACGGGCCTAGGTAGAGCTAGGCCAGTTTGATTAATGGGGTAGGGGTGGCAGGGTAGGAACAGCCTCTTCCGGAACTGGTTTGGAGGGGCCCAGCCTCTTTAAGTCAACTTGTGTAGCCTGTTTCTGCCATGGAATTCACCAGTGAGAAATCCTGAGGCATGAGCCACTGAAACCAGAGCCAGAATGTCAGATTCTGGGAATGGAAGAAGCCCTTGCTCTTCATCTTCAGACCAAAAGACCCTGAATTTCAGTGTCACCTTTGCAGAGGGCAAGAAACCTGGTCTCTAAGTCCCCATGCAGCCAACAGTGACAGTCCCCTGTGTAAATACTGGTGGTGGTAATGGAGGAAATGGTGGCAGTGGAGGAAAACGGGGCCCAAGCCATGGGATCTCCCCACCGGCAGTGAAAAGCGACCTGGATAAGGAGTTGGGGTCCTGGGACCCACTCTGGGTCCTGCCACGAGCTTGCTGTGTGTGCCCTGGGAGGCCATCTCACCCATCCATGCCTCAGTTTCCCTGCCAGATGGTAGTAGGGAGCCCAAATGATCGCCAGATCCTCTGCAGTTCAGACTCTAGCAGCTCAGCAGCCACGTCTTGAGGTCACCTTCCTACCCCAGCCCACTCTCCATTCTCCTCACTGCCGCCACAGGCTCTTTGCACCTGCTGTGCACCTCGACTGCATACTGAGAGCTAAGTCCCAGGGAGCGGAAGAAGGCGGAGCAGAGCCCCATGGTAAATCACGCCCACCAGCAGGGGCCAAGGAGAGGCTGAGAATCAGAAGGAAAATCCAAGCCTACACACATTGCTCCTCTCAGCGATTCTTGCCCTCTCCACAGTCCCAGGCCTGTGCCAGGTTATTACATGTTATCAAGGAACAGGGAGGAAGGACTCGCAGTCCCCCTCAGGGAGACTGCTCAACAGGCCATGGATGCTTACCTCTCAGGTAGACCCCGCCACTCACAAGAACACTACCTGGAGGCCTCCTGGCTTCGCCTGGTCAGCCCTGGGCAGAAACTACCTCTGGGCTCCCAAGACCCAGGAGAAGGTGGAATTCCCCTATGGGGAAAAGATGCAGTCTTCTATGGAAGGAAAAACATAAGGGTGTATTTTTTAGGCAGGGCCCAGAGGAAAGGTCTCCCGACCTGTCTGCCGGCCAGCACAGGGAACACAGTTCCTACAGCGCTGTTACCTTCTGAAGCACACAGTCGGTGTTTAACCGATGGTTGTTGAATAAATGAATTAATAAACCATCTCAAGACTTAGAACCAGGCGGGACGCAGCGGCTTATGCCTATAATCCCAACACTTTTGGAGGCCAAAATGGGAAGATTGCTTGAGGCCAGAAGTTCGAGGACAGCCCAGCAATATAGCAAGACCCCACCTCTATAAAAAATCAATTAGCCAAGCATGGTGGCACATGCCTGTAGTCCTAGCTTCTCGGGAGGCTGAGGTAGGAGGGTCACTCGAGCCCACAAACTTGAGGCTGCAGTGAGCTATGATCTTGCCACTGTACTCCAACCTGGGTGACAGAGCAAGACTCTGCCTCATGAAAAAATAAATAAAAAGACTCAAGGCCAGGCACAGTTGCCCACGCCTATCATCCCAGCACTTTGGTAGGCCAAGACACAAGGATTGCTTGAGCTCCAGAGTTCAAGATCAGCCTGAGCAACATAGTAAGACCTCATCTCTGCTTTAAAAAAAAAAAATAGCCAGTCATGGCAGCAGGCTCCAGTGGTCCCAGCTACATGGGAGGCTGAAGTGAGAGAATCATTTGAGCCCAGGAGATGGAGGCTGCAGTGAGCTGTGATCACGCCACTGCACTCTAGCCTAGGCGACAGAGTGAGACCCTGTCTCAAAAAAACGAGATTTAGAACCAGAAAAGCCATCTGCAGTCAGGCACTCCCAGTCAAGCGGCCTTGAACACCACACAGTAGTGTGCAGCTAAACGCACACAGCATCATGCTTATTTCCCTTGGATCCCATCAGCACAGTCCTCCTGTGGCCTGATGCAGCGATACAGAGGGAGCCAGTGAGATGGGAAGGGCTGTTGGTGCTAAAAGGCCCAAGTGCTCAACTCGGCTGTTCTGGCTGACAGTTCTGTCCTGTCCTCTCCCCTGTCCACTCTGCAGCCCACCTGAACCTGCTGCCCAGTCTCCCTTGGGTGGAAACTGAAGGTTGCCAGAAAGAAGACAAGAAACAAAACTACTCAGCTCAGGCATCGAGCGCTTTATTTCTTCGTACGCTACAGAGTCCGGCTCTGGGTGAAGACAGCGCCTTATCTCCTGAAGAATAGAGTGCAGTACCCTCAGGACAGTATTCCTCCCTTTGCTCATGCTAGTTCTAGGAATCCAGGTTGCTAGGGAGAAGGCACCGCCTGATTCATGAGGAATACTTTGTTATTAATGATGGTAGTAATTATACGCATTTCTTATTCCTGTATTTAGAACATATTCGAGCCATCTCTGACTGGTCAGGGATCCCTGTCTATTTGGCTTCACACCTGCAGCCGCTTCCTCCCTCCCTCCCAGCACCTAGAGGGAGCACTGCTCCCCTGTTCTAAGGCTCATCCCCTGGCCCACTCTGTGCCCTGGACCCAGCCCCTCCCCTTCCCAAGGGCATCATTCCACAGAAGACCCTTCCGTCTTCTTCGCCATCGCTACTGTCCGACCTTAGATTTTAAACTGCTCAATCCTCTCCCATCTTTTTTTTTTTTTAAGCATCCTTTGTTCTCTTTACACTAAAATTCTGGAAAGAGTCATCTACATTCATCATTCCTAATCCCCCTGTTCCCCTCCGCTCCCTAACCAGGCTCCTCCCTCCAGCAGGAGGGTCCAGGGAAAAGGTCTCCTGCCCTATACGATGGCTGGCATGGGGAGCATGGCCCCTCCAGTGTGTCACCCTCTGAGGCACACAGTAGATGCCTAAGAAGCTAAGAGCCTCAGCCTCAGCTAACCCTAAGCATCCGACCATGTTGAGGGTCCTCTCTTCTGGGATGAGCCCCCCTTTGTTTTCCTGCTGCTCCTCCCACCTCTCCCCAGCACCTTCTCAGCTCCCTGCAGGCTCCCTTCTCCACATCCTTAAACGCCATGGTCCCCAAGATGGTCCCCAGGGTCTGTTACCACCCTCCTCTCACCGTGGTCATACCCACGCCCTTGGCCTTAGTTTTCACCTGCAGGCTCATGTCCATTCCTCAGTCTCACTCAGACCCACTTCCTCCCTCAACTCCAGACCTGCACGTCTGCAGGGTGTGGTCAACAAGGCATGGGCCCCAAAATAGATTCCCCATCCCCCTGCCCTCCCCTCTGCACTCAAAGACTGGACTGATTCTTCCGAGGCCTCCATCACCTGCTCAGCTGCCTAAGAGAGGACACTGGGTGCCCTCCTTGACTCCTCTCTCCCCTCACCTTCTCCTCTCCCGTTGGTCACCAAGACCTGAGGATTCTCTCTTCTAAATAACTCTCAGAGGGCCGGGGGGCAGTGACTCATACCTGTAAGCCTGGAACTTTGGGAAACCAAGGTGGGAGTACTGCTTGAGCCCAAGAGTTTGAGATAAGCCTGTGCAACATAACGAGACCCCATCTCTACAAAAAAAATATTTAAAAATTAGCTGGGTGTGGTAGCTCACACCTGTAATCCCAACACTTAGGGAGGCCGAGGCGGGCAGATGACTTGAGCCCAGGAGTCTGGGACCAGCCTGGGCAACATAGTGAGACCCCAATAAAAATAACAAATGCATAAATAAAGAGCTCTTAGACCCATTTCTCCTTCCTTGCCATTGTCCTGGTTCTGCCACAACTGTTCCTGGCCTGTATCACAGCAGCAGCTTCTGGACAGTCCTCTAATCTACTCTCTCCACTGGCACCACAGAAACATTTTGCTGAAGCACAGATCTGATCATCGCCCTTAAAACCCTTCAGGGATCCTTCCCTCTGCCCCTAATTCTCCTCCCCACTTCCACCACCTCCCGCCACACACCACCTGCCACCCACTACCATTCTAGGCCACTTGCAGCTCTGTAAACAGGTTCGGTACTCACACTGGGCCTTTCCATGCTGTTCCCTCCACCTCCCACACTCTTCCTGCCTCCCTTCACCTATGTTCCATTTCGTGACTCTGACTCACTCTTCAGCCTCAGCTTGAAGCCTGCCTCTTCCAGGAAGATGCTTTAGATTTCACGGCAAGGGCGTGGACGCCCCCTCCAAGCTGCTACCATCACACCCTGTGTCTTCCCTCTCACAGCACTTAAGCCATCAAATGAGAGAAGCCCCCTTATTTACCCACACCCCAGCCAGACTCAGCTCCAGGAAGCCAGAGGCTGCACCAGTTTGCCCTCAACTGTTCCTACAACACCTAGAGCATAGCAGACAATACGTTCTCAATAAACATGCGTTCAATTAATAAACTGGTTACAGTGACCCACCTCCTAAACAAATGCAAATCCTCCACACCCAGGTCTGGAGGGGAAGTGTGTTATTGGCGGAGAGATTATAGGTTCTACTTTTGTGACTCAGGGGCAGGTTTGCCAAAGGATGTGGGGCCTGCTGCCTGCACACTGCCCCAAGCCCTGTAGAAGGTGACAGGCCAGCCATGGGCTGCAGAAGCCACATGAAGGGCTGGTGTCCTGGAAGCAGGGAGGCAGGAGCCAGAAGAGCAGAGTAGGGGCAGCCAGCTCTGGGATCAGCCCCAGGGCAGGGCAGCAGCCGGGGCAGGGCAGCAGCCCGGGCAGCTGAAGTGGCTGGTTTCTCTGCCTGCACCCAGCCTGCCCCTTCTCTCTCCTGGTTCTCACTGATCCATCTCTGCCTGGTCACTCTTACCTCACCTTCTCTTGGAACCACTTCACACTGTCCTTGCTTGAATCATGTGGTCTTGATCCTCCCCAACCCCTGCCCACCTCCCCCACCCCACTCACCCCACTTCCTCCAGCACCTGCTCTCCTCCTCCCACCACCTCCCTCTCTCCTCTCCAGCTGCCGCTTCTGCCTCCTCTTTGTCTCTCCTGGCCTTTTCCGACAATGCCACCCTCCTTGGTGGGGTGGCGACTTCTCTGTGTTCCAGGTTCCCCTAGCAGGTAGACACAGAGAGCTGGCCACTTTGCCCCATCACCTAATCTTCCCTCCTGAACCCCTGGCCCGCCACATGTCCTCTCCGCCTGTGCCACACCCCCTCCCCTTGGGCCACCCCGCCCAGGCTTACCCTCGGTCAGCCCCAGGTGGATGCTCCAGTAGATCTGCAGGCACTGCAGCTCCTTCTTCATGCCCCGCTTGCAGCGGCAGTCGTAGAGCGGGCTTTCCTGCAAGACCTCCAGGGCCGCCTGGCACTCCTTGTTGGCCAGCATGGTGTTGCGGTCGCGGCCTGCCAGGCACTGCCGCAGCGTGCGGTAGCGGGAGCTGCAGTTGGACTCGGCGGCACACAGCTCATTGGCCCGGACACAGTCCACTGGGGGGCGCCAGCCGTGGAGCTCGGGGCCCTGCAGGGAGGAAGGGCTGGCCAAAGAGCGGAGGGTCTCGTCTGGGTGGTGGGGAGGGAAGACAAGTATGAATGACGGCCGCCACAATCTCCCACCCAAGATACAGGCCTGGGGCTTGGGCCCTGCTGGGAACGTCACACCCATTTCACACCAAAGCCCACCAAGGCGACTCTGTGGGCAGCCCTCCTCACACCCGAGGGAGAACTCAGGCGTCATCCTCCCCTGGATGGACGAGTAAGTTTTCTCCGTTTGCACTCCATTCCTCCTTAGCAGCGGCCCTGGGCCTATGAGCACGGCACAATAAAGCCAGGAAGATCCCGGCTCAAGATCACCGTTTAAGAGTCAGGAGCCCAAATGAGAATGTCACAGCCTCAGCAGAGAGCTGGGGACTGCACGGCTGGCTGGAGGCTGCACGGCTTGCTGGGGACTGCAGGGACTGGGGAAGATCTCACTTTCATACCACCCAGGCCTCCTATAAACCCCAATAAACCTCCAGCCAGAGGCCCACCCATGGCGCTGCACTAAGCCTTGGAAGCAGTGTCAAGTCGTTTCATTGTCATAGCCTGTTAGGACCTTATAGACACCATAGAGTCCAACCCCACATTTTACCCTAGGGAAACTGAGGCCCGAAGAAGGGTGATGACAAATAAAGGTCACACATAGCGGTGGAAACGCCCCCTCAGATTCCCAGTGTACTCACTCTGACTCTCATTATGACTCTAAGACAAGACAGGAACAGATGAGCCTAACTCTACCATCCCAGCAAGCCCAAGAAGGAGGCGCCTCACCCCTCCACACCTTCCAGTCCAACTTCACACCAGACAGAGATCTGAACCCTCGCCGTCTGCGAGACGAGTTCCACCCCGGCCCCCTCCAATAGAAAATGCTTTTGTCAAGCCTGGGGAGCATCCATGCCCCCTGCGCACCCTGCTCTCTCCTCCCTACTCTAGCTCGGCTTGTGCCTGGCTGTATCTTGTGCCTGGCTGTATCTTGTGCCTGGCTGTACCTTTCGCTTCTCTTGCTAACAGTCTCCCAAAAGGTCTGTTTCTTCATTACCTTTTACAAAACTCTTATCTTTGAATGGCCTTGTTTCTCCTCTTTTTTCTTTCCTCTCCACCCTCCTGTGAAACCGCCTTCCCCTCTGTCTCTTATTTTGTTCTTCCCTCCAAAAGCCAAATAACTGCAAAAAGGAAAAGCTCCCCTCCTCGGACCCCAGCCTTGCAAATGGAACCTTGCTCCTCCACCAATGTGCAATCCCCTGTCAAGCCACCTTCCCATCCCGGCCCCAGTGTCCACACCCACAGTGCCTCAGGAGGGAGGGGACAAGGAAGAAGAGAGAGAAACGGCAGGACAGGCTCGCCTGATCCTTTCAAACCCAAGCTCCTAAAATGGTTTCCTCCAGACACAGACATCGTTTTCCCAGCCCCTCTGTCCTCTGCCAAGCCCCTAACTCCAGATCCTGCCCCCAGGAAAAGCACGCACCAGGGCCCAGAGCCATGACTGCTCTTTCCTGGACCCCAAGAGTAATTTGGGAGGCTTCCTCGACTCCATCTAGCCCCAGAACATAATAAAATCCTAGGCCAGAAGTCCCGTCTTCAATACCGCAGAATCCCCCATCCCTACCCAGAAAAGCCGCTCTCAGGCCTTCCCCTGGGAGGCCCTGCTCAGGGGGGGCGCTACCGCAGGGAGACAGCGACACCTAGGGGCAGCGCGCTGCACAGCGGGCCTTCACTCCCGAGAGCCCCCAGGGAACAGGAATCCATCCACTCCCTGTAGGACCAGGCGGGTGGGAGACCCACCCCCAGGAGGCAAGAGAGAAGAGCAGTAGGGGTGGGCCTGGGGTACAGAAGGTTTCTTCGGGGCCCAGAGCAAAAAACGTGCCCTTCTCCCACTGACCAGACCTCTGCCCCAGAACAGGAAGGCTGATGGATGTGGCCAGGCTGAGACAAGACCAGAGAAGAAATCAGCGCGGAGTTTGAGGCCCGGCAACTGCTGGAGAGGCGTCCTCCACACAAGCTGAGGCAGCATCTTTCTTTCCCGGCTTCAGCAGATTCCTACCTCCCTGAGCAGGACCCAGGTACAGCTGGGCCCCCAAGAGCAGATGAATTGACACGGCCCCGCCTGCACCTGCGGCCCCCAGCCAGCCTGCGGGAGCCTCTGGAACAGCACAGCCCTGGGCCCTCCACGGACTTCACCCCCCCGCCTCCCCATAGGCTAATGCCCTCCCACCTTGACTGAAACGAAGACTGCACTGTCATAGAGGGCCTGGGAATGGAACTTCCTGGCTTCCTTAGCCTTCTGTAGGCACAGAATTCACAGCGTGCTTAAAGGTCAGATTAGCCCAGGGGATTCAGGCCATAAGGACATTTACTTTGCTTGTCCTACAGTTGAGGCCTAGAGCCCCACAGAATGATCCTTTCACAATCTTAGGGAGGCTCCCATGCCAAAAGAGAGGGCTTCCCCCATCCTGCCACCTGGCTCGTGTGACCAAGCAAGGGACGCACTCTGCGAAGGGCCAGGGCATCCATTCACCAAACCATCCTTGACTCTTCTAGTTCATTCCATGACCCCCAGAACCAATCAAGCCCAGCCAGAGAAAGGAATCCCTGCAGCATGCAGCATGCAGCCTTTAGCTAAAAATCCTAAGAGAGTGAAGGGCAGGAGGTATCCTGGTGATGTTTCCAAATCCTAAATTAGGAGAAAACTTTGATCCATCAAGACACGGGGGTAGAGAGGGGTGGAGAAGCGACACAGAGCTACAATTGCCCTACTGCATCCAACATCCCACCAGAGTTAGAGCATGTGCTAGAAAGCCAGTCGGAAGTGGCCCCCTGGCCAGCTCAACACCCCCGCCCGAGTCACTTTCCCCATCTCCTTCTCTCCCTGGGTCAGCACTTGAGGTCAAGATACTAGGCAAGAAAGGCCTCTCTCTCTCTCCACCATGGGTTATCCAGCCCAGACCTCACTCAGAATCTCAGTGTAAGGGCACACAAAAGGCCTCTGCCCCCAGCTGAAATTGACCACCAAGTCTCAAGCCCCAGAAAACCTCCCCCCACCCTCCACCCACCCACCCAGTGGAATTTTCAACCAGTTCCCTGCCAGGAAAAGGGCCCCAGGGCTGAAGTTTCCTAAACACCAACCCATCTCCCCTTCCTTTCCACTGGCCTAACCCAGAGTCTTTCACTATCTGTGGTCACTCCACTCAGCCCAGCTTTGGAAGGGGACTTCTCGAGGAAAGGAAACTGAAAGGCTGTGACCCAATGGGATGCTGAGCCTGCTGCTCTTCTGCTCTCACCCCCACCTCTCAACACTCAGCCTCCAGGGTTGCAGACATTGGGATGGACCTCTCTGATCATCCCCCAAGCACACGCATACACACCCACTTCTGAGAAGGAGAAAGGTGGACTCCTCAGCCTGCCTGGCTGAAGAAAGCCTGCCTGCAATGACCAGGGGCCCACACTGCTCTTCTCCAGCCCCTGACCCCAGATGGTACCCACATTTGGGAGCCCTGCCCATCCTGGGGTGTGCAGCTCAGCAGTAGACAATCGGGCTGTTTTGCCTGAAATACAATTTTTTTCCCCTTGGCCCTGATCATGCTTGGACCCAGAAGGCTGGCTTTTCAAACCAGTGGTGGGAGAAAAGGTCAGATTTTATAGTAGCCCCTTCAGAATGAGAGTCCACTTGCCAGGGTTGTCAGAAAGGGCTTCGGGATCACAGCTGGCCCAGAGCACCTTCCAGCTTCCTCGATGAGCCCCTCCCACCCCAGAGAGAAGCTGCCTCTGGCTGATGGAGGCAGGACCTCTAAGGCCACACACCAGAGCAGGGCCTTGCCCCCTTGGAGACTCACACCTGGCGGGAAGCATAGGGGACAGGCAGAGAGTCCAGAGCCTGCGTGGACACCCAATGACTCCGGTCCCTTATCCTAGTCTGGTGGGCACTTCTTAGACCACACACATCCTCCTGTAACCACCTCCTACCTCCCCACTCGGGGCAGGATCCCCTGCTGTAGGAGGGAGAGGGTAGGATCATGACCCCGGCTGGTCAGCCTGGCTTAACACCGGCTACACAGCAAGCCAAGGTGGTAGAACTGCACCCTCACTGAAGCAGACGTGTGCTCCTTACAAACACACACACAGAGACACACACACAGTAGTTACTCAGCTCCCTCTATGGGAGCATCTACTCCCTGGCAGCAGCCCTGCCTGGGACCTCGGTGGTGCACAGCCTTGCAAACGCCCGCCTTTCCTCATCTCCCTCCGGAGATTGCCTTCTCTAGACCCATTTCCCAAGCCGCTGAGAGTTCACCGAGCTTAAGCTAAGGGAGTGAGCGGCTGGGAATTGTGTGTGGAAAAGAAACTGCGTGGGGCTCGGGGCGCCAGGCAGCCCCTCCTCCCGTCCTGGAGGCGGGGGCGGGAGGGGGGCGCTTACAGAAGGAGCAGTGGTCTTTGTTACCCGTTTTTCCTCCCTCGCCTCCCACCCTCTTCAACGGAGGAAGCGAACTTTGGCCTCCCTCCGGTCTCTTCCCACCAGTCACGGGTGTCCACGGCCCCCAGAGGTGGAGGAGGGAAGGCCGGGAACGGCTGCTCACAACCCTCCGCTCCCGCCCACCCATCTGGCTCCGGACTGGGTAGGGAGAAACTTGAAAAGTGTTCCGGGGAGTGGAGCCGCCGGTTAGGGGCTCAGGGTTTGGGGACGCGGGCTGCATTTGCCAGGCGCGGCTGGCAGGTGGGGAGTGACTGCCAGCGCTCCCCCCCACCCCGCGATGTCCAAGCGGTAGCCGCCGGAGAAACCCGCGCCCTCCACCACGACCGACGGTGGGGGGGGGGGCAGACCAGGAAAGGCGGACCCGGCAGGACTGTTCTTTCCAAGCCTCGGAGCTTCTCCCTCCCTCCCTCCTTGCAGATCAAGAGTTGGATATTTTTTTTTCCTTAAGTTGCCACAATTCGAACCCATTATTTCGGGGGAGATGAGCGCTATACTGGCATGTGATCGAGCGCGGGTGTGTGTGTGTGTGCGTGTCTGCGGGGCCGGTTCGGATGTTGAGTCTCCCTCCCGATCCCCCCCGCGTCGCCAGCCAGCCGTGGCTCTGGTCCCTCGTCCGCGTCCCCGCTGCCCGGCCCCGCTCGGTTCGCCAGCGCCGGGCCCGGCTCGCTCCGTGGCGCGCTCTCCCCGCCGGCCTCCCGCCAGCCCCCCGCCGGCGCTCCGCTTGCCCCCCGCCTCTCCGGCATCTCGCCTCTCCCTGAGCTCGCCGCCCGCAGGTACTCACCTAGAAAGAAGAGGAGGCAGAAGGCGTTTGCCAAGATCATGTTAAATAAATCCCACCGTTTTTTGTCTTTCTCCCTTGTGTAAAAAAAATAATAACAACAACAATAATAATAGTCAAGCAGTGGTAATCAGCCCCAAATCCAATGCAGAGATCCCAGCTAGTCCACCCGATGAAGATCCCGAGTCCTGCGATTCTTGCCTCTGGCTGGAGGGGGTGGGGTGAGAGGAGGGCGGTGGGCTGCCTCTTGACGCCCCCCTTGCCCGCTACAATCAAATATACGCGTATCTGTGTATCGGCTTTCTAAGCCAAGAGCCCGGTCCTGGGGTCAGCCCTCCCTTCGAATCGTCCGGGAAAGCGTGAGTCCCCGCGGGTCCAATTCCCCTGCGCTTCCCAGGAGGGGCCTGGTGAGGTGGGGAGAGAGGCGATTTGCGAGTAAAGGGCTGGAAGGAAGCGGCGAGGGAGGGGGTCGGAATAAAATGCAAATAGGAATGAAATCCACCGACGGGTGTCAGCGCCCAGGAACAATCCAGTCGGAGCTTCGAGGACGAGAGACTGGAGTCGCTTCTTTCGCACCAAGACGAAGACAAGATTCAAAAATAATCTTCTCCCGCTAACCCTTGCTCGGCTCACTTTTTTCTAATGGAATTCCAGTGACCGTGTGTCTCTGCGTGCGTGTGTCTTTCTCTCTCCTCTCCCTCGCTCGCTCTTTGCTCTCGCTCTCTCCAGCTCTCCCTAGCTCTCCTCTCTCCCTCCCCCTTCTCCCACTCTCCCTGCTCCTCCCTCCGCCCGCCCCCTTCCCCCTTCGCGGCTCCCTCGCCGCGGCTCTCGCGCCCGCGCCCCTCTCCTCCGCCCCGGGCTCGGCGCTCGGGCTCCCAGGCGGCTGGCGGCGCAGGGCGCGGGAGCGCGGCGATGCTCTGCAGCGGCGGCGGCTACACGGCGGTGGCGGTGGCGGCGGCGCAGGGAATCGCGGGCATAGAGGAGAGCCCAGCCGCCGGCTCCCTCGGCTCAATCGCCCGCCCTTCCTGGGACTGACCTGCTGCCTTGGCCGGAAACTGGCTCCCCCGGCTACCGCTCGTGCTCGAACCTACCCAAGCGTCGGCACCCTCCTCCTCCCCGCGCAGCGCTCCCCACCCTGGGGACGGGCTGCGCCCTCCAACCCCCACTGCCCCTGCCCCCGCCCCCTGCGCCGCCGGGTCTGGGAAGCCTGGGGAGCTGAGCTGAGGCTGGAGGGCGCGGAGTCCGTGGCGCCCGAGCCATCCGGGGGCGCGGGGAGCAGGGCGCTAGAAAAATCCTAGCCTGGTGGCCCGGGTCTGAGCGGGGGCTCCACCCTCCGTAGGCTGAGGCGTCCCTGCGCCCGGGCGCCGAGGCCGACAGAGCGTCTCCCCGATGGTGCCAGAGAAAGGAAGTATCCCCTCCGGCCCCAGTGCAGCCTGCCGGCCCCGGCCTAGCCCCGCGCGCACATACACGTGTGCTCTCCGCGCGGACCTCGGGAACTTTGCCCTCACGCCCGCGGCGCGCTCACCTCCCGCCCGCTCCGGCCTCCACCCCTTCGAGACGCCCCTTCCCCGGTCGGTCTCCCCTGCCCCGGCTCGAAAAGAAGCCTGCTGCGCCGGGGCACCCTGACCACCTCCTCGGAAGCCAGCGAACCTGCCAGAGTCGCCCCAGAGGGATCGGGCACGGGCTTGCACCCCACCCCGGCAGGAGCGCCCGGAGACCGACCCGGGCCGGGGCTCCGCGGCCTGCTGGGCTCCGAGGAGCTCGTCCCGAGGCAGCTGCCGGCTCCCCAGGCTCCGGGGTGGGGTGTTTCCTCCCCGCTCAGCCGGGAAGGGGGCGATTGATCCATCTGTCAGTGGGCCGGGCTCACCGGCGTGTTTTAGTCACAGAATTTACAATAAACGTCCAGAAGGACCAAAAAGGAAGCGTCGGGCTGGGAAACGGCTGGAGGAGAGGTGCGGCTGCGGTCACGTTCCGGCGAGAGCGGGAGAGGCGCGGGCCCGCGGTCGCGCGAAGGCTCACACCCACGCAGCCGGGCACCCGGGATGCCGGGGAGCTACCAGGCATCCCCCGGCCTTCGCGCCACGTTCCTCGCACGCAGCTCGGCTCGCACACGCGGTGTACTGGGGCGGGGTACCCGCAGCACCTCGGAAACTTTTCGTGCTGCCCAAAACTGAATCTGGGCTGCACGTAAGATGAATTCAGTAGTACCGGTTAAGATGCATTCTTAAATAACAAGACTCTGGAATCCAGTAAATGCTAGAAATCGACTTGGACGAGAAGGGAGGGGTCACTCACAAAACCAGCAGCCTTAGGTATTGGGAAAACTAGAGGGAGCAACTTCCATCTTGCGGATTTGGGCGGGAAGGCGGCTGCTCCTGGCCTTGGAAGCACAGAGAGCGGGTCTCCTGTGAACGCCGCTTTCCTGTGGTCCGTCCTGGGGCATCGACTTTCCTCCCTCCATCTTCTCCTCCAGCCATCCAATGGTGCCTGCTTAGAGCCTAGGCCCTAGCTGGGTAGTGGCGAGTCTGGGACAGAGGGCTTAAGGATTGGAGTTCTGGAAAGCCACCTTTAGGCCTGCTCTCCCTGTCGTTCCTCCAAGCCTCTCCTGTTCTAGGAAGTGACTTCGCATCGGACCAGGTCTCTTGGCTTTTTTCCCAAAAAATTGAGGAGTGTAAGGAACCGGCTTTGGATAAGTGTAGGTTAAAAGATAAAACTTGACAGGAATTACACTGCCAGGCAGTCTTGGCCTGCAGGCCCGAGGCTGGGAGCCTCGCCTAAGTGAATGTTCTCCCCACTCCCAGCTCCCCGACTTCCAGGGTCTCCTGGTTGTCCAAATATTCCTCACCACCACCTGTTTCGGAATCTCACGCAGGCTTTCCCTCTTCCAAGGACCCCGCTCCAAACTCCAGAATTTCTGCTCAGCATATCCCTCTCCCCTTCCCCACAAAAAAAAAAAAAAAATTCACTTTGTTTTAACCTCATTTGAGCATAATGAGGGAGACTCACTGAATCATATATCGTAGTTCTCCCCTCCCACCTATCCAGACAATGAGAAAGCAGCAATGAAGCCCTGGGGATGGCTCTGAGTTCCCATTCGGGACTAAGAGGATTCCAGTAGCAGGAGGTAAGTGACGCTTCTAGGACCCAAGAGCGCCCAGCCATCCCAAAGACAGTAGAGAACACCAATCAGTCACCACCAGCATTCAGCTCATGTGGCTGCAGGGCGCTCTGACCTTGGACCCTCTCTTACCTACTGCCTATACAAACATATCCCATGACACCCCACCCTCTGCCCACCCCAACACTCAACCCAAGCTGCTCTTCGAAATGGCATCTTCCCGTATGTCCAGAGCATCTGCCATGAGGAAGGACCCCCCCCTTGTGCGGGGATCTACAGAGGAAACACAGTTGGACACGTACTATAACACCTTATAGATAAGAGGACTACTGAACCTCAGTTATCTATAAAACGGGGATTAAAAAAGATAATAAACCAACCTTGTAGAAATTAGATGAGATACTACACAAAGTGGCTAGTACAATGCCTGGCCCATATAAAGTTGTTTACTGCTTTACTCTGGGTTCTACAAGAAGAATTAGGGACCTGTGACAAGGCAATAAAACCTAAGGGGCAAATGAGAGCAGAAATAAAAAGCTATGGGGCTTCAAGGGCAACAGAGACTGCTGAGCAGATGGCGCAAGAGGTAGTCACAGGGAAAGGCGAAGTCTCTAGCAGGTAGGAAGCAAGCCCTAGGCTCACCAACACACTTCCACACACTCCATAGTGCCTGAGTCCTTTTACAGCCTTCCTGGCTCATTCCAGTGCTCCTGAGGTCACTGGCAGCTAAGCCTCCTGCCCACAGCCTCTCCCCATCACAGATCCCAGAGTCCGAATCTGCAGGGGAGGGGAAGGGAACACCGAAACCTTCCATTCCTTCCCTTTCTCTTATCTGTCTAGTCCTCTCTGCTTACGGAGTAGGTTCTCTGGACAGCAGGAGAGGGAAGAAGGACCAGCGGAGGGGAGGGCTTTGCAGCCCCACCCCAACACACATACACATGCGCACCCAGGCCTGGGCCACACCGCTCACTGACCACAATCTCATTCCTTTGTGAACGGAAGAAGGCTGAGGGTTCCCTGACCCATGAGATAAAAATCGACCAGCAGTCAAAAGAAGGTGTCTCACATCCAGCTAAGACTGTCAGGAGCCACAGAACTGGCAAGATGGAAGTGTCCTCATCTATAGGACACAACGTGATCCAGGGCACCCCACAATCAATCCATCAGCACAGACTTATTGAATGCCTTCTCTGGCCCCAGCACAGTGCCAAAGGCTCTGGGGAATACAGCAAGACTGCCCCTGCCCTGGAAGCATTTATAGAGTCAGGCGTGTAGCTATGAGAAGATACTGAAAAAACCAAAGGCACAGTGAGAGAAAGGAAGAGTTGGTACCACTGACTTTCAGGAGTTCAGTCAGAGAGGACTTGCTAGGGGTAGGATTCAAGCTGGAGCTGGAAGGATGGGTAGAATTGGCTGAGCACAGAGGAGGACACTCCAGGCAAGCAAACAGCGGAGGCAAGAGCACAGTGGTTAGAAAGGTCTCAGGAGGCTGGGCACGGTGGCTCACGCCTGTAATCCCAGCACTCTGGGAGGCAGAGGCGGGCAGATCACCTGAGGTTGGGAGTTCCAGACCAGCCTGACCAACATGGTGAAACCCCGTCTCTGCAAAAAATACAAAAAACTTATCTGGGTATGGTGGCGCACACCTGTAGTTCCAGCTACTCGGGAGGCTGAAGCAGGAGCATCACTTGAACCTGGGAGGCAGAGGTTGCAGTGAGTCGAGATCCCACCACTGCACTCCAGCCTGGGCAATGGAGCGAGACCCTGCCACAAAAAAAGAGAAAGTTCTCGGGAAAGGAACAATCCGGTGGGTGGGAGGAGCCAAGGGCACAGGTTGAGGAAGAACTAGAGGGTCCAGTTGGGGTGCTCAAGTGGAAAACTAAGCCTTGCAGTCTTCAGACTCACACACCAGGAGCCACTGAAGGTTTTTGAACAGGCAAGTGTCATGATGAGAATAATGTTTTAGGAAGATTGATCTGATCACTGTGTGAGGGATAGAGACCAGGGGCCAATTAGGAGGCGATTTTAACAGTCCCAGGCGGAGGTAATGAGGGCCCAACAGGGAGTGGCAGTGGGCGTGGACAGAGGGAGAGGGTTGTTAGAAGCAGTGTTAAGGATGAATCAGCATGATGCTGGAACACAGGGAAAGTCGCCAGGCCAAGACAAAGTGACCAGCCTAGCGGCTCAGCCTTTGTCCTTGGAAAAATAATAATTAAAGTAGCCAACTTTATGGCTAGATACATGTTAATACTCTTTCAATTTCTGTAACAACTCGATGGCTATTATTAGGTACTATTAATAGCCTCATTTTCAAATGAGAGAGGAGAGGCAAGAGAAGTGGTTCAGCTGCCCAAGGTCATATTTTAAGTGGCAGAATCTGGATTCAAACTCGGGCAGTCAGGATCCAGCAACCCTCACTGGTCAATTCTGTGTCTTGTATCAACAAGAAAAGTGGTGGCTTTCCAGGCCCACGTATGTTCATATTCCCCTTCAGAATACCTGAGATGCCCTCTTCCTCCCTTCCCTGTCCAGCAACAGTGTGAAAATATATCATAAGAATCAAAACAATTTTTTTTTTCAAGACGGTCTCACTCTGTCACCCAGGTTGGAGTTCAGTGGTGCAGTCATAGCTCACTGTGGCCTTAACTTCCTGGGCTCAAG